TTGTACCCGAGGTGTATTGACGTCAAGTAGGTAGGAAGGCCCTAAAAACTTATCCAATACCGTTGACAAGAAGATTCACGTGTTGTGGCTACCTAGGTGGTAAAGGGCAGGAGAAAGAATATGGAATATTTTTTATATTTTTGCACATGTATTGCAAAATGATAAAAATTATAATTGCAATAAATGTAAAATTGTATGGATAAAATAAAACGAAACTGCCTCTGGATCATTAAGTCAATGTTAAACACATTATATTCTGGTCACAAATAACTGGACGGGATAAAGTTTGTTGCCAATGTCAAGACAGTAAAATTTTAAGATTTACTAAATGAGTCTGAAAGTGGTAATAATTGATTAAATTTAAACTTTAAAGAATTACTTACTTGAATAAGGTCAAATTTCGACTAACAGGAGACTAGCATGTACTAATTAAATTATACATAATTGTGGGGATATTTTCAATTTAAACATCCATGTTTTTCTTTTTAAATACTAAGAAAGATGCAAGAACTACTTCGCATATTTTTCTGCGTGTCTGTACATAGGTCGAAAATAAGCTTCGAAAATATTTTCTGGTGCAGTAACTGTCTACTGGATCTCTTTATCATTAGTAATATTTTAATGCGCCATTACAAGAATAAGACAATAAGGTGTAAGTCGTTAACCGTTACTATCCTCATTTTGTAGTGTTCTTGACTCACTTCGATTTACTGGACCGAAAACGGCGTAGAGTAATTTGTCACGTTGCCAATTTTTTACGGTGCTCCATTCGCCAAGACAAGATAGTGGCATGCTACTTTGTACAACAAAAACAAAAATGCGTTTAAAACATAAGCAAGTTTTACAGCTATGTTGATTGCTCCTTTACTATTCTTATAATTGCTAATAAATACTTCAAATATGCTTACATCTATTGCATCCTTGACATTTGACTGTAAAATTTGAATGAACCTGTGGTTCGAATGTGGTATGTAAAATAATATTTGAAAGCGTCGATGGAAATACGTTGAAACTGTCAAATATTATTTTACTTAAAAGGACCACCAACATTTTACCAAGCCTTCGGATACAATAAAAATGGTAATAAAAACTTGTAACAAATACTTACAATATCTACTATTTACAAACACATACGATCTGTACCCATTAAGAATTACAGTCTAATCATTGGGCAAGACTGTACACAGTCCCACAATAAAACAGCTGTATAAAACAATAACAACCTATTTCGTAATTATTACTGAATTGCTATCATCAACCCGTCCATTCATTTTAACTTTCCTAATTTAATTTTATCATTGGCTCTTACACCGCTGCGAGTAATTACACTCTGCGTCATTTACCCAACGCCAAAGTAAATTGCTAATTAATAACGACGGTGTTTTTGGGTACACTTCAATTTATTAAATAATTTGTCAAACGCACTCTATAAATGCGACCGTTTTGAAATGTAACTAAGGCCCCCTTACAAATGTATTCGGATTTTACATAAACTTCTAAAGTTAAAAAAATATGTTTCCTGATCTAATCCGGAATTACTGGAATCGCGTTACGGTTGTACAGATTAGCTGACTCCAAACTATGACTCTGTTGTTGACATTTGAAATTTACCGCCCACATCGCTGACGATTGTTACTGTTTTGTTTGTTATAAAATATTTGAGCTGTCAGCCATTGAGAAGCACTAATTAAGCAACTCTGCCCCGTTTCCACAGGATACAAAAAATTATTACGCGAATTCAGCAGATTCTGCTTCACGCCTATGCTACCCAGAGGGGTACTAGTAACTCTAGTACCCCTCTGGATACGGAACCATAAAAAGCAAATTCAACCTTCCAGCGGGTGGACCCTATTAATAAAACTTCGCAGTCTGCCTATCTGTCCGTCTGTCGCTAGACTGTATCTCATTAACCATGATAGTTGGACAGTTTAAATTTTCTTAGATGATTTTATTCAGTTGCCGCTATAATCTTCTTATATATAAAAATGGATTGCTGTTCGTTAGTCTCGCTAATACTCGAGAACGGCTGGACCGATTTGGCTAATTTTGGTTTTGAAATATTTCTGGCAGTCCAGGGAAGGTTTAAACGATGAGAAATTATGGAAAAATTGCATGGAAAATCGAAATAGCAACAATTTTGTTTTCCCATAGAAACTGTACCTGTCAACTATGACTGTGTAACCTGTCAAACACTTTATGCGTGCGTTCTGATTCCTCTAAAAATAATTTATATGGCAAAACAACGTTTGCCGAGTCAGCTAGTAACACATAAAAATCCTAACAACAGTTAAAAAAAACAGAATAAAAAAATATTTAAATAGAGCTCCCATATAACAGACGTGATTTTTTTTGCCGTTTTTATAGAAAATGTTACCGACAAATAAATATAAAAAATGTTCCGACTCGCACTTGGCCGACTTTTTTAATGACAGTTTTTGACAACAGAGGGTGAGAGTGGTGAAAACCTCCCCAAAGGACATATCTGCCAAGTGTAGTAGGTGCTTTTTCCCTTCTGCTTATAAATGAAAAGCAACGTGAACCATATTGTTCCTAGTTACCCATCCCCTTCAACTGTGTCGAAAAGAAATCAACAAATACTTAAAATTTTCCAATTAGAAATCTTAAAAAATCGCTTTAATTGTAGTACACACTGTAGTTACTAACACTGATTAGATATTGTCCTCACAAAATTGACTTTGGTGGAAAGAGTGTTAATTATCAACTTAGTAAAATGTAACTTAATTATTTCCATATTTTTTTTACCAGAGAGAATTATTTCGAGAGGGATATAAAAAATTTAAAAAATAATTTAATTCTTTGTAATGATGAAACAGTAGTTACTATTAGCAAGTATTTTTATAAGGACTTATTAAATATATGAGTAAATGCTTGACGCATTTTTATTTATACTGGAACTTCATTTGTTTATGTAAAAGACAAATGTTTGCCGATAAAATCATATTCGATTTTATTTGTATTACTTGTGTCTCACAAATTGGATCCCTTATTTTTGCGCACATTATCTAACCACAAAATAAAAATTGTGCAGTAAAGTAACAGCCTATACATGTTCCACGCTGGGTAAAGGTCTGCAGATGCGTTGCCAACCAATTTAAAAGTGAACCCCGGTTACCTCACTCACCAGACGAAATGCGAAAGGCTGTGGTACTTTTTTTCCATGTGAGAAGGTGGCAAACGATTTGGCAGTTCACTTGATATTAAATGATAACAAACAAGACGTAAATGGTAAAAAATTTATTATAAACAAAAATATATTGTATTCGATTTAACATAAATTTTTAATTCGTACATAATAATCTTAATTATATTTACAACATCATTTATAGCTGTTATGTCTTAGATTATGGTCCGAAAAGTGTATTTAACTTCATGAAAACAAACATACTTCATTAAATTATACGCATTAATTTCACTCGTAAATAAATATGAGTTGTTATTAATGTAGCTAGTTTCATGATACTCCCCTACTTTCATGCAACACACGATTCTCAAATTACAACAGGTTTTAGTTTATGTTATATTTATTGATATTTATACAAATAGTCTTCGATTGTGCTGTAATGTCATTTAGTTCAGTTACAACTTTAAATGAAATTCAAAGCTACGTTTTACTTTGTTTTATTATTAATAATAAATAAATTTCAACAAATGGCATAATAATGTCAACAATTGAAAGAAAATTTAACGAGAGGCATGAAACAAAACAGGTATGTACTCAGTACGATTTTTTGGTACATACCTCCCCCCTATGATGCTTCATATAGAAATAAAATATGTCAGCTAACATAAATATGTCAGTTGAACCTTAAATTCAAGATATTTCCTCACATCTAAATCAACACTGACTTTATATTGTTCATAGTTAGATTAATCAGTATTGTTAACAACATTATCACAATGATTATCAGAATCATGACAATCAATCCGTATTTTTTTTTTGTTTTCAAAAAAAGTTGCCCTCACTTTAGGATAACATTATCCTTTGTTGCAAGGACGTTTTACATACATAAATTTCACGTGGGCAAGCACCCAGATGCGAAACAACTATCTGTGGGTCACACAAATAGTTCTCCCGTGTGGCAATCGAACCACGACCCCCGACGCCGAAGCCAACACCTTGACGACTGCGCCACGGAGTCACCAAAATGTTAATCGGAGTAATCAAAATGTTTATAATCATTATCATCAGCCAAAAGACGTTCTCTGTTAAACAAAGACCCACAGAACACACCCTTAGAACGCCACATCGTCACTGCCATTTGCTTCCACCGTTTGCTCGTGATACCATATTTACATTATAATAACTGATATTTTAATAGTAATACTCTGATTTTCATTAAATTTACAAATTTGACTAGATATAAGAATCTATACAGTATTTTGATAAAATACAAGAATGATTTAAATTTAAAATTAATCTATTACCCTACGTTAATAACCTACAATTATAAGAAACAATGCTTTGTTATGTGTTGTACAACTCGTTAGATTTAAAATATTTATTTAACTATGAACTTAAGTTTTATACTCGTAAAAATATTTTAAAACAACCTAAAAATATGAAATCTAATAAAAACATTGAAGGTTTCTTGTCTACTTTTCGTTATTGGTTATTTTTTTTTGTACTTAAATTATTTGATTGTTATTTTGACGTTTCCAATCAAATGATAAAGTACTGTAATTAACCTATATATTTGGTTTAGGTATATCGGTATTTTACTATTTTGTACAAGATAATTTTCACATAAATTTTATAAACACACTGAATGAATGTTGTAACGAGTATAACACTTAATATTAAATTGCACTTTATATAAAGTGTAATTTAATATTATGTTTATAATTTAAGTTTTAAAAGTTAAGTTATTTAAGGAAATACTTAGTATGTACAAATAAAAATTAATGTTTGGCTTATTGCACCCCTGTTTCCATTGTAATAAAAGCTGTGTTATATATTTGCTTTTCGTATGTTTAATTCAAGTCGGATCTTTTTCTGTGTGATCTTTTGTAGAGCATTTACTTGAAAACTGTGTCCTGTTCAATAAAAAGTCTAGATCGTTTGATATTTTGCTTAGCATCCTACATGTCTCGGGGGAGTCGTAGGCCTCGTTCCACTGTCTGTTCACTTGGTCAATGTCTGATTTCGCCTTCGGCTCTTCAATGGCCACCTCCATGGACGGCAGGGATACACTGGAAGTGAACTCGTCGTTTTTACTGGTCTTCTTCAGGCAACTTTTAATTGGCGGTGACGGTATTCGCGAGATATCGGGGTTGGATTGAACGCAAATGGAGCAGGATTCTTTGGACGTGTCGAATCTTGTTTCCGAATACGGTTCGAATCTTGTTTCCGAGTACGGTTCGAAGTCTACGGAGCATGTGAGCAACGGGACAGGGGATTCCCGCGGCGGCGGCGTGTTCGCAACACCCAGTTCTAGGCAGACGCGTGCGATGTAATCCTTCTGTGGCGGCGAATGCGGTATGAGATCGCATACCGCGTGCGTTGTGGTAATATTGCGAGGTTCGAAGCGATGCGGTGTCAGCGCGGAATCCTTGAATTCCACGCAACGTACTATATCCGCCCGGCTGTCGGGTGATTGTGTTCTGTAATTGTTTGTATTGTTATTCTATACTATCTCTACGGTAAGTTTCAGATACTTTATTTTTTTGTATATTTCACAAGTTTAAGTGTGAACATTAGCTTGAGTATATTGTATAACATTAATATAAAAAAAGTTTTTCAAATGAATAACTGTTGGAAATAATTCGGCGACATTGCTTGCGTTTAGGTCTAGTTTTTAGGAATATTTTGGTTATCTTACATACATTACCTATGCATTCCCGATGGACTTTCAAGGCCTGGAGCACGCCAGTAGGACGCCACGGGAGATATCGGCGTTGATGACGACTCTAAAAGTCCCGCACCACCCCGGCTCTCCGCTTCACCACCTTGCTTAATGTACACTAAAAAAGTTTTCCTACTTATTTCTCTTACTTTAACTTTTGGTCTGTTTTTAAATAGATAAAGAACTAATTTAATAGTTAACTAACCATAATTTCAAATAAAAAACTCATATGTCGATTCAAATGAACATTATTTTACACAAATACCCAAATAAACTTTTTTACGTGAGAAGTTAAGTGATCACCGTCGGCCCTGGAAATTTGCAACACCCGTAGGGTTGCAGATGCGTTGCCACCTTTTAATAAAGTAGGCTCCGGCTACCTCTCTCATCAGACAAAACGCAGAAGCATGACTCTTTCATTTTACGCCGATCTTCTGTGAGGTCGTGGTACTTATCCGGAAGGACCTGCCCATCCGTGCAACAGCAGAACCGAAGTTGTTGCGTGGCCCTACCACAGTAAAAGTACTTTATAAAAATAAACAAGGAAAATGTTTTCGTAACCAATAATTCATTTAATTTATTTTAATGTAATTAGAGTAATCCGAACAAAGAAAGTGTACTTCAAAGTTCAGTAAAAAAACAATGCAACTGAACGTTCCTTTATCAAAAATAAAGGAACGTTCAGTTAGATATGTGTAGTTTGAAAACTTTGTTATCTACGTTCATAATTATGCAAGTTCTTTTTGAATCTTGAACACATTAAAAATAAGTTAATAAGTTTATCAGCAAAAAAAAAAAAATTCGCTCTAAGTTTAGTCGTGTCAATCAACGTTGTAGTTATTTAGTACTACTACAATTACTTTTGAATCTGTATTCGAACAACGTATACATATAGTAATATAAATGGTGCTGACGTGTTAAATAAAAAAATACACCAGATTTACTCGAGATTACTGACAGCTCAGTGAAGTGTCACCGGCGGGTGACTCGTCCCAGCCTCGGTGCGATGGCAACGAGAGCACTCTTTTTGCGGACTGCAGACACTCGTCGTCGTGTATGACGTAACAGACCAGCATGGCCACGCCCTTAAATGAATTCGAAATAGTTTGGAATTTGTCTAATGTCGCGAGCGCGCTGTATTAAAAAATAATGTGATGACACCATAAACTTTCTAAATGTATTTCTAAATGACGTCATGTGAAAAGATGCCAAGAGAGCAGGTGGTTCACCTGCTACACCCGAGGGTTTGCAGATGCGTTGACAACGTTTCTGACATTTACTAAGACTATAGTCTAGTCAAATTGGTCATCTGGCTTTGCCAATTGTTAAATTACCTGTTTCGTGGGTCGAGTATAACGATATAACCGTTTCCGCTTAAGTGTCCAAAAACCGTTAAAAAAATTAAGATGACCCTTACGAATAAGCGAATTGAAATGATAGAAAGCATTTCGAAGAAATAGGCTCTCGTGCTGTACCACACTCATTACATAGCTGATAATGTCTACCAGCCATTCAAAATCAAATTCACTTCACTAAATAAACTCGTTAATAATATTGAAGAGTTAAAAGCATCCTATCCTATGGTAAAAATAATAAATAACACTACGGCACTGAGTCATAAAAACTAAATAAAAATTAAAAAAGAATTTGAGGACTCCGTGGTGCAGTTTCGGCGTCGGGGGTCGTGGGTTCGATTCCTACACGGGACAACTATTTGTGTGACCCACAGATGGTTCTTTCGCATCTGGGTGTTTGTTCGCGGGAAATTTACGTGTAAAACGTCCTCGCAACACAGGATAATGTTATCCTAATGTAAGGGCAATATTTTTAAAATAAAAAAAAAGAAAAAAAGGAAAAACTTACATTAGCTAGCACAGCCGCAGAAAATGCGGCGACGTGCACGATGTGACGTGTGCCGGGCTGGACGTAAACCACACCCGTGGCCTGGGCAGCTGATGTGGTGAACAGCAAAGCTAGGGTGTGCCGAATTACGCGGCGCCTGTATGTTTACATATAATATGGAGGAAGTAAGCTCTTGTAGTATTTTGATACGTAATTCTAGCTTAACATGATGAATGGACATTATAACAATTTCATGTAGCTGCGTGAAAAAATAAAAAAAAACATTAAAATCAGTCTAGCCGTTTAGGAAGAGTTCAGTGAAACACACGTACAGAAGAATTATATATATAAAGATATGTAGATAGCACAATCTGAATTTAATAATGGGATTACAATGACAACTTAAATGTCATTTTGGTATTCTTTACAAAAAATTATAAATTCCTATCTTTCGCATCCAGTGAGCTATCGCAATTTACGATACACAAATATTTCTTCTAAAAATTCTAGTTCAAGTCTCTGTAATTCTCATTAAAATTCATACAGCCATTTTGGTGCCGATTTGGTACAAACTTTGTGCCTGACAGGACATACGAAATTTCTAAAAGAAGTTCATTTAAGAAGTCGCATTGAAGAACTCTGCTAGTTGTCACATCTAACTATTGCAATTTATTTACAAGCACAAACAGAGGTTTCATGAATAGAGTAAATGTACTTTATACAAGTATCTTTATTGGACACGCATGTGAGGCAGCACGCGAAACGCTCATTTGCAACCAGACCTGATAGTGGACCTATTGTGGTCCTCACCACCAAACTATATACGAAAATTATTGTTATGTTTTATATGGCAGAGGCTTCATCAATCAAAAATCAATCAACCTTTAAAAATTTGACCTCGTTTACCACTCCAATCTAATGAAGCGTAAAAGCACATACTACTAGTCATATTTTTCAACGAACGTCATTTGTAGAGCATAGAGCATGACAAAAACATTGTAAATGTGTATATTTACATCTCGTATACAAAGGAACATCATTTGTAGAGCATAGAGCATGACAAAAACATTGTAAATGTGTATATTTACATCTCGTATATAAACTATAGAATAATGTTCTTGTTCTACGAACACAGTACTACTGAGTAAATAATTTGGTGTCGTGTATTGTGTTAAGGACCGTGCTTACTGGACAAGATATATGTATGGATAAGCGCCCCTGGTAGGTCACTTCTGCATAGCTCCTGCCCCTTATCCGATTAAACCCGTCACGAAATAAACTCTTTATTTTTTGCGAGCATTGGTCTCAGCTTTGGGTATAATTTAACAAGAATAAATTCTCAACTTTCTTATAAATCTAAATTTAAAGACAAAAATTGTAATCGTTATGTAATTAATTAAATCTGTTTTATCTTCGGACAAATTAATTTTTAATTTTCATTAATTTCACATTACACAGTTCAGAAATGTCAATGGTAGTTTTAAATATCATGCAAATAAAGTTGTACAATACCAAACAGATGTCAATATTATTATATTTGAATGTTTTTTTTTTATAAAAAAAAAGTCTAACGAGCAGGCGATTCACATGATGTTAAGTGAATACCGCCGCCCATGTACGTCTGCTACACCCGAGGTTTGCAGATGCGTTGACAACCTTTTTGGAAATTGGGCCACGGCTACCTCACTCACCAGGCGAAACGCGAAAGTATTTGTGATACTTCCACTTTATTCGCCGGTATTCTGTGAGGTCGTGGTACTTACCCGGACGAGCCTGCCCATTCGTGCAACAGCCGAAGCTGCCGCGTGGCTCTACCACCAAATGTTTGATGATTAAATTATTCCTATTTAACAATATTTAACAATTTATTTTTACAAATTATTGATAAAAAAAACTTGTACATCGTGTTTCCAAAAGTTTGTCTATATTGCCGTTTTTAATTTAATCATATATTGAATTGATACAAGAAAGTGACAAAAATGTTTGTAGTCATTCTTCGTTTATTGAATAAAATGATAGAAATACGTAAAAAGTAATTTCGTTAGTAGTAAATGATTATATTAACATTGTGGGAAAAGGTTTTATACCTTAAAATAACTATGAACTAAAAAGCGTGCACCCGAGATACATACAAGATACTTAATATACAGTCATTGAAAGAATATAATTTCGTACCGATCCTTTAGATAGGTTCTTCTCTCCGCCGGTATTTTATGTGTGATCGTCCTTAGCCGCATCAACACACACAACGCCAAAACGAAACACAGCACGGCCAGCAGAACGCAGCCTGCTGCGCACACGACTTGCGCTGCCGACCCTAATTGCAAGGGCGCTCCACCCCAAAGACGCGCCGTCAACCACGCGAGTGTGCACACCCCTGATAGAAATATGTGTAATGTTTTTCGAATTCGTATGTAGTCGCCTGAAGCTTTCATTTTGAAGTACATTTCTGATTTTGGTTGTTCACGATTATCTAAAAATCATACTAACGATTAACGATTGCAAAGAAATACTTCTTTTTAGTAATAAATTTTACGCTGTCGAAAATAAAAAGAATAAAATAATAAACGCTGTCAAAACAAAACAGAAAAATTTTAATGAAATAAAACGATATAAATTGGAAAGGATATAAAAAACCTTATTTAGGTAACTTCTAAATGCTAATAAGAATGTAGAAGTGGCTAGAGCGTCAATATCTTTAGGTGATAGTAAAAATCAAAAATTTAAATTTCTATACTAATAAATGCCAACTAAAATTAAAAGAGTATAATACATATTCCTATATGTTTTATTAGCATAATTTTGATAATTATGCTGGATGTAAAATAATTTGTTTATTAAATAATAACATTTCTGAAATTGGTCTACCGAAAATATATAGAATTAAATTAAAAATAAAGAAGATTTTATGTATTTTATAAAAATTAAAACCGTAATTGCATCTTATTTAAAATGACATTGAAGGTGTAAACAAATGCAAGTCTCGCAAATCAAAAAAAAAAAAAAGACAGAGACAACAGAAAGCACAAAAGTTCTAATTTTGAATTACGTATCTGCTTTTTTACTGTCGGCGATCAGTTCTAGAAATTTCGAGTACGTCCCACGTATAAAGAGGCCTGGAGAGTAATGGGATTATTAAGTGTACCTGCTACTAAGCCGACCGAGGGCGCACGCTGGCCCCTTCCCGCCAGCTCCGCGTGTAGCATCAGAGGTTGGGCACATAGGGCCGCACACCCAGCGCACCAGCAAGCGGCACAAATCCAGCCAAGCGCTCCCGGGCAAGCCTCGTCCTTGCGAATAAATGTTAACGATTCAAATTTTTCTGAACGAGGAGTTGGGACCTCGTGGAAAAGTTTAGTTTACGAAATTCGATCAATCCTCATTGTCCCCTTAAACAGTAAATGTTCTAACCGTTGTTGGTACCAATTTACTGTATAAAGGTCCCATGTGTATCAAAATCGAACTTCTTAAAAGTCAATATTTGTTAGCAGAGGGCAGAGAAAATAACTCTACAGTATTTTAGTATGTCATAATATTGTATCACATCTGTTCCTCCGTATTATTTTGCGAGTAATATAATGCTTGTATTTGATGTTCTTCCGAAAAGTTAAATTTAAATTTGTCTAATTTTAATATTTGGTTCAAGCTTAAGAAATCGTTCGATTGCTCTTGAATTCTCTTACCCTTGATCGAGAAAACATAAGTTTTTGGGAAGTATCGTTAAGTATAGTTAAGTAGTGAGAGGTAAATCTAGTAGAAACTACTAAAAAGAAGCATTTTTATTATTTTAACAATTTATTTTATAAAAGAAAGCCATCGTATTCTAGTGCATAGTTTTTATTCTTCTTAAATGATTTTGAATTTTAGAAAACTACAAATATTTCATTGCTAACCACCCAAAAGAGATAGAGGCAAAACGTACAAAGTTTCAAATTTGCATCAATGTATAACGACCATTGTTGAGATTGGATCCTAATCATAAACAAGCGAAAGGTTATACTGAACTGATCGTCAGTTGCATTATAACCTTTCGCATTTTGAAAGCACAAGTTAATAAAGGCTGCTTATAAATGTTTTAACACTATAATAGAGATATTTCAAAACTTAAAATCATTGATCAATGTATATATACAGATAAATAAAATTGGAGTGTCTGTTTGTAATATCAAAATAATGGTACATATACCAAAAAACGTTTTTTACAATTTTTTTGTCTGTCTGTCTGTCTGTCTGTCTGATCCAGCTAATCTGTGAAACGGCTGGACCAATTTGGACGGGATAGCTGACAGATAGCTGACGTAATAAGGAGTAACGTAGGCTACTTTTATTTTAGACTTTTTTTTATTTTAAATTTCACGCGAACGAAGGCACAGCTAGTATTCTATATATTTTGATACCTGTCTCGTGTCGCATTCCAGAAGCGTTAGCATCGCAGCAGAGTGCGTTCCCGCGGTAGCTGCTTTAAGGAGGACCGGCAACCGCTGTTTTCTGCCGGGAACCAAAGCTAAGAGTTGCAACGCTGCCGCAGTGAGACACATCGCTGCCCCCAAGCCGACGGTAACTTTAACTACCCCACGTAAATCCCTTTCAACATCGGTCTGTGGGAAACAAAATTATTGTGATAACAAGACATAACGTTTCGAAATGTATTTGTTAAAGATGAAGGTAAAAGTGTATAACACAATAATGCAGTGTTAATATAGTCCATCGGGTTTATAGCAGTATAACATACGGATATAAACGTGAACAATTAAAGCATTGTCTATGTGAAAGTTTGCATATTAGTACATTAATTATTCCACCTTTACGACACAACTACTGAAACTTAAACTTGAAAGTTTAAGATTTTTATTTTTACATTTTTATTTATATTTATTTTTTAACTCACGGCTTCGTTGGTGGTATTTTACGTGGCTTTTTTCCAAATGAAATAGTTAAATTGAACACTTGAAAAATATTTAAGTCATTTATTTTGTGATAAATGTTATATCTCCTTTGTTTATCATTATCGCAATATGTTGTGTTGGCACTTACTACAAAATTTCTTTGATGTATGAGATATTTTTGATGGGAAAAATATTAAGAATGGTCAATTTTATGAACCAGTTAGTAAGCATTACGTAGCTCTTCCTCAATACATCTTGAAACGTAATACGTGATGTGGTTTAGAAATAACCATGGCAAGGGTACGCAAACCACACAGTTACAAGTTTAATTTAATATAAATATGCGAAAACACGTATTGTAACAAATCTTAATGGGCTTATCATTAATAAACTATTTAAAAAAGTAGGTATATCATAAGAATCAAAAAATAAAAAAGCAAATATGGTATTTGTCCCCCTACCAGAAATACACACATGAGAAAATTATCTAATATGCATAGATAACTGAAAGGCGTTAGTTGTTTTGTGTGTATAAATTACAGTTTTTTTTTAATGTGACAAAAGTGGTACCGTGCTGGCGGTCCACCTGATGTTAAGTGATTATTATCCAGTGGCCATGGACATTTGCAGTACCCGTAGGATTGCAGTTGCGTTGCCACCTTTAATAAAGTGTGCCCCGGCTACCTCACTCACCAGACGAAACGCAGAAGTGTAACACTTCTACTTTGCGCCGGTCTTCTGTGAGGTCGTAGTACTAACCCGGACGGCTCTGCGCATCCGTGCAACATCGAACACCGTTGCGTGGCCCTACCGCAGTTATATACCACAGGTAGCTAAAAATACTCACGAGCTTGGAGCGCGCTATCGTAAAAAGAGCGAATGTGCCGAGACCACGACATCGGCACGAGACGTATGTCGATTCCGGTATGCGCACATCACACGCTTTAATATTCCAGACACGAGGCTCCGATGACGTTCTCATACCGCAGGCAATTTTCGATGCTGCAACGGATAAGGTAAATAGTGCGGCGCAATCCAAATTATGGAAAAAAAAATATATCGGGACATAATAATGAGACATATATTTACACAACGCTATCTAGCCCCAAACTAAGCGAAGCTTGTACTAAGTAACTGATAAACATACTTAAACAGACTTTTTTTTTTGTAAATAAATACATATTATAGATATATAAACATCCAGACACTAGAAAAACATTATGTTCATCACACAATATTTTTCCAGTAGTGGGGATTGAACTGAAACCCTCTTGCGCAAGAGACAGGATCACTATTCACTAACTACGTTAATTGGGTCGTCACATTTTTTTTTTATGTGAAATGTCAAACGAGCAGACGATTCACCTGCTGGTAAGTGAATACCGCCGCCCATGGACATCTGCCACGCCCGAGGGTTACAGATGCGTTGAAACCCTTTTGAAAATTGGGCTCCGGCTATCTCACTCACCACACGAAACGCGAAAGTATTTGAAAATATCTCTGTAAACTCACATATCTCTGTAAACATTTATTATCAAGTTTTGGATTACTTTATGTCACAACCACTATGAAAATCACTTAATTTGTGTTAACCTGAGTAGAAAACAATTTAATACATTTATAATTTTGTCTCGGTTTCAATTGTAAGCAGTTTTTAGTTAAAACAAAATAAATATTTCTTTCCTTCTGGATAGGATCATAAAGTACTTTCTGATTTAAGTTTTTAGCAGACAGCAAAACATTTATTGTTTCGATAAATTAAGAATGACTTAAGTATTGTGCTTTATATCATTATCACAAAAGATTAATATAGTGTACTTACTATATAAAAAGTTCAACAACTAAAACTAGTTATAAGCTGTTTCGTATGCATAATTTATTCAATCGTACGATGGATAAATTATTTATAAGCCTGTTGATTTTCTTATTAAATTAATTAGATGATATTTATGTATGACGATTATTTAGGTCTTATTAGCAAACTAGTCGTAAATTAATCAAAGCCTTCTTTGAATTCGCACCCGAGACCTCCACGCCCACGTGTCGGCTACACGGATATAATGTACAGTTAAGTTTAAATGTGAATAATTTTTAAAATGGTATACTTTTTTGCGGTTCACCTCATGGTATCCAAGGATTGCCAGGAAGCTATCAGCATGTCGCTATTTTTTATATAATAAGATGGTAGCGAGCTGACGGTTGACCTGATGTTAAGCAATAACCGCCACCCATGGACATTTGCAACACCGAATGTAGAGTTACAAATACGTTGCCACCTTGCAAAAAAGTGGGTCCCGGTTACCTCACTCACCAGACGAAACACATCATTCCGGCGTTTTTTGAGGTCGTGGTACTTCCCCGGACGGATATGCCCATTCGTGCAACAGCGAGACTGCCACTTTCCGCAATCACCGGCCAAATTGTAACATTATGAATAAATAAATAAATGAATAAATAAATATTTTAGGACACATTTTTACCTCTCTAGCCCCAAACTAAGCAACGCTTGTTCTTTATACTTTTCTTTTGTAAATAAATACATATTACACATATATAAACACCCAGACACTAGGAAAACACTATGTTCATCACACAATATTTTTCCAGTAGTGGAAATCGACCCCACACCCTCTGGCGCAGGAGGCAGGTACACTACCCACTACGCCATTCGAGTCGTCGCCAATAATTTTAATTTTAGCAGACCAGCTGTGAGGCTGTGCTAAGACCTCCGTCAAACAGGTCATTTAATTTAGCTGGAGCTGTAATACGTTTTTGTTGACCAAGAAAACCTCTTACCAACAGCGCTGTAATTCTTTGAGTGTGTAAAGAGCAACGTAACAGAGTGTTGCAAGGATGAATCGACGCCACTGCCGTAAGCGGACACTTGTATTTGCTGCGATGCCGGAATGTATTCCATCTCACGTCCATTCCTAGAAAATGAGCGGCTGCAAAATGAAACGTTGAAATATAACCAAAATAGAACATTAATTTATATTCGCTACAATTATTTTGTGATAATCTAATTTGTAAAGATTTCATAATAATAACGTTCCTTTACGCCATTGGGTGCCTGGTAAGATATAGCTATTTAGCGATAAGGCCGCCAAATTGGGCGTTCCATAAATTTGTTTGTTTTTTGTGTATCCTTTTATGTGCGGTGGGAAATAAGGAATTCATTAATTCTTTTAATTCAACCCAACAAACAACACTGACAAAAAATAGGAATTCAACAAAGTACATTTGACAGTAAAGAAAAAATCGTTTAATTAATACCAGAGAACAAAAAAAAAAAACTGTAATATAAATCAGAAAAAAAAAAGGAAGAGAAAATGCGAGCGTTCCGATGCTGAGTTAACAGGGTTAGCTGCTCAGGATATAGCTGATAACACCATTGGGGTGACTACCGCGGTTATTCTGCATACATTAACGTGTTTTATGTATGTCATACATATTACATTACCCGTATTTACTTGTTATGAACTTTGATATCTTGCCGGTATATGGCGATTATTCCGTAGTATACCGGTGAAGCAAAAACTTTGTACCCATTTTCATGAAAATGAACCACGGGCCGTGGACTATTACATTTACCACGCTTATAGTTTATATAGAGAAGAAGTGCAGAGTTTTAATATTTTTAAAACATTATGCAAAAAAAGTCATTATATCAATAAAAAAACATTACACACACTACTATATATGAATAATTATAGTTGAATATCGACCACTAGGCGGCCAGTAGTTAGACTGTCGTTACATGTGTGATTTGAGAAACTTTATTAAAACACAAACAATTATGCTCAATATCTGCACTTCACTGCATCAACCATTAACGTTTGTATTAAATAAGGACATTCATAGGCAAATAAGTTCCCTGTAAATATAAAATTATATTTACCGGGAATACTGTCGTAAAACTAGAAATTAAATTGAAATTCAAACCGCTTAGCATTACATGTTAATAATAATTATACACTTTTTAAATGTTACTTACTTCAGCTCGATGGATTTTCTTAAGGAAGGCAAGCGAGAAGTCAAATCACGATATTGCACCACGACCACCGAAGCGTTCCCCATACGTCCCACTAACTCAGCTCCGGCGGAGGTTAGTACCCACTCTTGGGTGCCAAGACTAAATGGGAAGTTGAAGTGAGCGGCATTGTCCTCCCTTACCGGTTTAGTTTGCACAACAAACTCTTGATTTGAGAAGTCTACGTGTTCCTTCATTCCCGCCGTCTCCATCACAGCGTTTTGTAGCTCATATATTTTCTACAACAGGTTTTGCACTCGAATTAGCTTCTCAACCCAAGTTAAACCCACATCACATGTTACAAAGCCCAAGTAAAGCCCACGCTACAATATTACTTTACATCTGTTCCCTGTGTTTGGGTTTTCCGGAATAATGCACTACCATCATACTATGCAATAACATGTTAGTCTATAGTTCCAATGTTGTGTGAAATTAGGATCAACCAACAAACACACTTTTAAAGTTATATGTTTAATTAATGCATCTTAGGATTTTAGATGAAACTGTTTTTAAATTTTTTTAATAACAAACAATTGAAAAAGCTAATCCGAATTATATTTTCGATAATGAGAAAGTTAATTAACATGTTTTAAACTTTAAGCTCTGTTCATGAAAGAGCTCTTTCTACAAAAGCCATTTGTGTTTGTTACCTTGTAGTACCTACCTAGTAGTTTGCAGGACTGAAAATTTCATTATGAAAATAAAGAATATGAAACGTAACTACTGTACTCATTATAATAGCAAATGTTGCTTTTGTACTGCAATTAGCACGACATAACGTCAGTGAATCTTGTTTCTCCCAGTTACACTATATTATTATTAATTGGCTTCCCGCAGATAAAAATAATAATAATACTCTTAGTTTACATATAAATATTTAAAAAAAAAACACTACCTCTTCATCAAGAAATGCATCTGGATGCCTCAAAAGGGTATCGTAAATTTTTAATAAATGCTCGATACTTTCAGCCCTGTCACCCGGGTTCCCAGCTGCGGACAGAAGATACTGAACCATGTTTCGAGAATGGCGGAGAGGTATTGCCCCTTCACCGGGGTGAGATGGCAGCGAGCGCAGTATTGCTCCGTATTGATGTGCTATACCCGATACGGTAGACCATGAATATCCAAATGACACGCGCGTAAACTATAAAGAGCATAATAAGTAAATGTAAAAAAATTCTAAAGAAGACCAATCAACCTATTTGAAATCGTACTTTTTATAATTCTCAACATTAATTATTGTCTGTATTAAGTTGTGTCTAATCCCTAAGTTAATAGGTTTCGCAAATATTATTTATTGCTGAAATATGTTCAATTATGGTGCTCGCTTCCCACTAATATCAGAAGCAAGATCGAAAAGTCATTAGTTTTTTTCTGCTTGAAGAAGAACCCGTTTGCATACACTAATGAGTTTAATTTCTGGTTGATGATCTCAGCTAGTTGTTAGTCAAATACCCGAGATACTATGCCACCAAGTCTTTTGGTTTTGATATTTGACTAAAGGGTATTATTAACATACAAGGAAATACTTTTATACTTAATTTACTTGGGCAGATGTCAATATAACAAAAATCTGTGTACTTTGTCCACACCTGTTCATAAATATCTCGTAAAGAATCCGCAACGCAGTTAGAAAAATCAGGCAGCATCCATTTAACACCGTGTTGCGTGGTTTTTGGCTCGCAAAATCTAAAAATTGAGACTCAATTTAAATTACAATACGAACGTCCTCCAATTTTTAAATTAAAAGATTAAAATTAAAATTATGTACATAAAGCAATGATCAATAATTAATGGAAATAACTACGAAGACTTTACCTTGTAGATTCTCCTGTATGGCCAGGAGGACAAGACGCAGACGCGTGAGCTCCTGGTGCAGTCTTTGGCCATCGGAGCCCATATGAGGTCCCGGCTTCACATGCTTCGTCTTTAGGCCCTAACGCCCACATGGTAACACCTTTAGCATTTGTACCAGCAATCGATGAAACTTGGCAACGAAATTCACTCGATTTCTGTAGTTTTCAAATGTGTTAGTGAATTCTTTTTAACAGTGCTAATGTCGCTAACAAAATCAATGGAAAGGTGATGTTGCAGGTAAATATTTCTTTAAGTGTTGTCGTTAGATCTGTTTTTTAATACCACGCAATTACAACAGCAATTGCAACTTACTTGAACGTCATATAATTTTAAAACGCTACCGGCCGGATAAAGGTCTTCCCAAACCTCACGGCCAGGAGCCAATTTTAACAGGGTTCTCTCCCTTGCCCAACTGAAGCCAAGTGCTCCATGCATTCGCCCAGCCCCAGCCAAACATGTGATGCTTACGTTATCGCCCTGTCGAAAAAAATATCTTGCGTAGCTCAATTTTATATTATTACTATTAAACATTATATTAAACTAATTTCAATTATACCATAAACCTGTTCTGAAATGTGATTCCACTAAATCAATTTTTAGATGTTTACAAAAAATAGAATATCTTAAATTTGAAAACTATTTCAGCAGTCGTACTATCTTTGAAAACGTTAAACAAATACAAAATAAAAGTGATTTAACAATAGCCAGCGATGGTTCAGTTCAAAGTCAACATCAAGTCGCTACATACTTTTGTGTGGCAACCCTAGATGTTTTTGTAACAATTTTTTTAATCAATTTAATTAAAAATGAATAATAATCAAGCTACCTTATTAACTGTTAATGCTGTTGGCACTAGACGTATATCGGGTGGGCGTAGTACAGTTAGACGAAGTGCTCTACATCGTCGCCTGCCAGCATCATCGGCAGAGCAAGACCATCTTCCGCTGTCCAGGGTTCTTGCTTCGGATACGCCTAGTACTGACATACGCCTCCCTAGAGCGTCTTCCGCCACTGTGCGAGTCCATATGTCCCTTCAAAAAATTTGTGTTACAACCATCACACGGGAGCAGTTACTAAATTATGGGCTTCGGCCCCAGAAGTAATGGGTTTTATTCCCACACCGGTCTATTATTTGTTTATTCACAGGCGGATCTATGGTCCCGTGGAGGTTTGTCAAACCAGACCGGAAGACATTCGAAAAAAACCTAGCCAATACTGATGTACATGTTAGTGACATGAGGCGCATGGTCTATCTGATCCACTTAGCTGGAATAAAGATAAGGCGGGGGATGATGCTCACAAAAAATGGCCTCAAGCTTAAAGAAGTATTTATGTTCAAGTTTATGCTTCTTTCAGCTTAAGTTGATTTGTTCGCATTCAGCACAGTTTCAAAAAGTACATTAAAATTATTTAGTCTAAATCCCTGCTAAAAATTAAACTCAATCACGTCGTTAAGAACGTCCAGCCCTATTTCGTATCAAATAAACCAGTAGATGTAATGATGATTCCTAAGCAATGTATAAAGTTTTCTGATAAAATGTAGCTGACAAGTGTAACAACTTAATTCAGTAATTAGCACATTTTACCTTTAATAGTTAGTCAGAGAAATACTTTAAAATTAAATAAAGAATATACTTATAAAAAATACATACCTTGTGGTTCCATTGAAGTTAATTTTGACTCCGTCTTTGTACCAAGTAAAGTTTATATCAGGAGATCCGTAAGCCATGCAACTGAGAATGAATTCAGATCCTTCCCACACTTCTGGACGTTGATTGACTATTAAAGCCTATAATTATTTTCACTCAGTAAAATACAATACATCCTACATATTAAATGTTTAATATACATCATAATACGTATTATGTGAAATAAATAAAGATGATAGATGTAAATGACAATAAGGTTTTTAGTTTCTGACAAAATTATTATTTGTCTAATTCTTCCTATTAATATTTAATTAAAATATTAATATTAATTATTCAGATGATAAGAGTTCCGTTAATATGATGAAATTGCATAAAATAAAATAATTTAAATTTAGCGTTTAGAATGTTGATTTATAAGCTAACTAAAGCAACCGTAAAAACGTGAACTTTGACTTGAAGTGAAATTCATCAAATATTTGTTTTTCTGCGTCCAAATAATTTTCAATGTTTGTAGGTAAAATGAATGAAGGTTATAAAGGTACAAAAAGGCATATTACATGTAAGCTAAGCGCTGGTTGCATGTCGACATGTAGCGTTGCCGGCAATATTCTTAAACGGTCGCTGCGTCCACGGGTCGCGACTAATCGGGCGAACGCCGCTTTTAAGGCACCGGCATCTCGACGAGCGGCCCACACTCGTAACCACACCGTTCGCGCACCATTGGCGTCTACAGAGCTGAGGCAAACAAAAATCACTTGTTAAAACAATGTACAATAATACAGTCTTAATATTTGATGATGTTATTAAAACTTCATTGCCCCATCCAGGTCTATTGATATAACATTGAATGTATACTTTGAGCATCGTACACAAAAGCATAATGATACAGAATGTTAGTCTTCTCACTCCACATAATATTTGTATGGTAACAAAAAGTGCATATTATATAACCAGACCTGAAACTATGAGATCAGTATAGCACAAGAACCTCAACACTAATCCGAACTATTTTCACAACCAATATGCAGCAATCAAAATCAAAATCAAAAATATATTTATTCAAATAGACGCTTGCGCGCTCTTATGCATCGTCAAATTTTACATCAAAGATTATGTATATAGGTTCCTACCACCGGTTCGGAAAGCAGTTTCTGTTGATCAGAAAGATTCTTTCAACATTAATATTGCACACATTTATGTTGAAAGAATGTTTTTTCCCAGCTGTATTAAAACTAAGTAGCTGGCAATAGAAGCATTTGTTTGTAATTTATTGGAGCGCTCGCTGTTTCGTTTCGTGTAGAGAATATTCAATGCAATCGAATGGAAAAAGGAAACAAGAAAACGGTATAAAAAGTAATAAAGGAGTGAACTCAACGAACAAAAACGTAACAAATTATTCTGTGAGAATTTCTCGCTAGCACTTCGCGTCCAAAAAATTATTAAAACAATGCAATCCGCTAAACTTACCTTAAATTTAAAATTTCAATATCATCCTCCAAGGTTATATTAGAGGCTTTCAAGTAATTAGTTATCTGAAAAAAAAAATATTGAAATGTTCATTATTTACTCCTTCGATGCTTACTGCTCATTTGAGTATATTTCAAACAGGAATCTCGAATAACCTTGAACTTTCTTATCAGCTAGCGCAAATTGCTAATTTATTGCGTTTACCATAACATTATGTCAAAAGAGTTAATTTATCAAGATACCTATGACGTGTATATTATAAAAATTACGAAAATATAAATTTACGTAATTATATATAAAAATTATGAAACATCAAACGTATAAGAGCAGCGAAAGCAAGAAAGAAAGAACATTGAAATCATCGTAATTTTTATATGGAAATAAATCTTGTCCAATTCATATTATCGTAGCGATAGCGTTCTTTGAGATACGTCTAATACTAACGTTACAACTATGTTGTTCAAAATACTTCTAAAACATTTGCATACACGTGTCTCCGTTGTTACAAATAAAATTATTTGAGCACTCATGTACAGCAACTGTAGATACTTTGTGTAGGTGCATTGAACTTTAGAACTCTAGCTACAGCCTTGTACGTAGACCTTGTAGTGTAAAGCAATCCGATGATAAAAATGGGTTCGAACGATTACCATTAACTTCATTAAAAATTCAAGCAATTACGAGTTTTAAGAATGTACGATAGTCATCAATTTTTTTTTTCTGGGGCCTTTGGTAACACCAATAGTTAATTTATTATGCGGTAGCGGTGCGGTAGATACGCAATTAAAAAAATATTATAAACATAAATAAAACCGGCCAAATACGAGTTGGACTGGCGCACGAAGGGTTCCGTACCATTATCAAAAAAATCATGTCTCTTGTAAGAAATAGATATATTATTCTGTTTTTTACTATTTGTTGATATAGCGGCAGCAGAAATACATCATCTGTGAAAATTTCAACTGTCTAACTATCACGGTTCATATACAGCCTGTTGATAGACGGACGGACGGACAGAGACAGCTGAGTCTTAGTAATAGGGTCCCGTTTTACCGTTTGGGTACGGAAACCTAATATAATTATCGCACTAAAAGAAAAAAAATATTACGAAGTTTTTGCATAAATCATGTAAGCATAGAAACGCAAGAGGAAAGTAAAGTAAATCATTACAATATTTTATTGGAATAATATGATAATATTACCTGTTTAGCGATTTCTTGAGATATGTTATTACTTCCTTGATCCACAATCTGAAGCCTTGTTTCAAAACGTGCAGATGCTATAGAAAATGTGGATTGGTTGTTAAAAATTGTTTTCGTTTTTAATAAATTATATCGGAAAGAAAATAAATAATTTTGAAGACTTACTAAAGTCGGTTTCTCTAGGATTGCAGTCACATTCGCTTGTTTTCTTACAACCCTCGAAACATTCTTCAATTCCACATTCTAATGAAAAGTTTTATGTTAATTATAAATTGGAATAATAAATATTAGGTAAAAAAGCTGTTTTTTATACAAGTTATTTGGTGATATTTATGTTCTAGTACTTAATTATCAATTAGTACAGATCTTTAAAATAAGTAGAAAAAGTGCGAAAAGATTGTCGCCGTTGTGGGAATCGAACGCACGTCTTTGGCATTCGCGGCCTGACGCTCTAGCCACTGAGCTAAACGGCTGATTAAAACAGCTTTTGTGTTGTACTTAGAAAAATTCCTTGTAAATACCTGGTGCCGCAATTTGAGATTCGCAAAGGTCGCCCGTGTAGCCGGGTGCACAGATACAACTTACTGCTGCTGGACCCATCTGTCTAAAGTATGCAAAATTTACAATGAAATATAAAGCATTGCAATCATGGGATGAGGAGTTTGATTGGATAAGAGCTGTATTAAGAAAGCTTCTGAGTAAAACGAACCAATGAATATGACATACATAATATTATTATGTATGTCATATTCATTATTAGTATTTAACTTATGCATATACATTACATAGTTTGTAAATATTGGCGTTTTCCTCGTTGGATATCTCTCTGTGCACCTACCTAATTTTCTCTGTACCACAAAAAGGTTGACTGGGAAATAATGCTTTTAGCATTAAGTCCGCCATTGTACTATTTGTGCATAAAGGGTAAAAAAATAAATAAATAAATATTTTAAATTGTCTTGCAATATATTAAAATGCCTTGGAAAATGCCGTTATAATGAATTATTTCATACATTTTGTTCATCATCTAGGACCTAAAGGCGCGTAAAAAGATAAAATGTAAGCCGTTTACCTGCAGGTTCCTCCGTTTTTGCACATATTGGATGTTTTCGGACATAATGGGCCGACTCCACAATCGGCTCCGGTATATCCCTCGAAACACGAACAGAAAAATTCCCTACAACAAAAACGTTTTTAAAGATACAAGTCACATGTCCGTTTTTTACAAGCTAAAATTAACGCGGATTATGATAGAGCCGCGCTGCCGTATATTCTACAACATTAAACGCCGGCCGGCCCGTTAGGAGATACACCACATCCTCAGAAGGATTACCGGATGTAGCTTTTGAGTTACATCCGGTAAACAAGCTAATGTGTGCATGAACATTAATTACTAACCATCGTGTAAGTTTTACTCAGTTATTTATGAGTTTGGTATTACCTACAACTTCTATTATCATATTGAAATGAATATTCATCATCCCGTGTTAAAATGAATAAATAACGACAATACGAAAGACCCACCTATAATCGTGTCTGGCGTAACAATGTCCCAGGAGCCGGCACTCGATGGCGCTACACGAGGCGGGACCAGGCGGTTCTTGGGGCTTCTGCACGACATACGTCACATTGAATCCGAATACAGAAAGCAGTCCCAACGCGCGCAACTGTGTTCCCTCCAACCTATCTAAAACCAACTCCACGACGAGGACGGGGCTTTGGACCTGAAAATGAAACGACGAAATGACAAGTAATTTTTTTATTAACGAAAACAAAATAAATATCGGTGAAGACAAGCACTCTACGACTTCAAGAGACAAATTTAAATGATCATTTATTATAATAATATGGATCGTTTTAAAATCATATGACGTCAACTTAACATCAAAGGGGCATTTTTACAACGCTAACGATCCGTAGGGTTGTTATTCTCCGATTCCGACCTAAATTTTGTTATGGATATGGCGTATCGTAAAAAAGGGTCTAAGATTTTCTGAGAAACGTTTCTTGACTAGGTTTATATCAGTAAAGTATACAATTCCTTTTTATTTCTTATTATACCTGCATTTCATATAAAAATAAAAACTATAAGACAACTTCGTTATTTCATTTACGTGAACATGTATATTGTTGAGCTATTTTTAATAAAACTATTTAATTAAATGAAAAAGTAATCAATAATAAGTTAACGTTATTCATTAGAATCTTATTAGATACATAAAATTATATTGATTCATAAAGGTTCCAATAAAGAGAGCCCGATAAACTCCGAATGGCTATCTATTAAGTACTTTTTGAGTTTTATGTACAATTTAATGTGGATCCGTTAAAAGGGTACTCAGTACCTATCAAACAAATAAAATAAGGTTTCGTGAAAATAGTTTAAATGTCCTTCAGAATATCAGGTAAGCTTGTACCGCCTTTACAGAGGAGGCTTTTGCTCAGCAGTGGCACAGGCAACGCAGGATAAATATAAGATTACTTAAGCTATATAAACTCTTACTATTTTTAAGACACTCCTTTTTAATAGTAATTTCAGGTTCTACTTTTGCTTTTGATTAGAAAAGGTTTCTTATCTTATCCTTTAAATGAGCAATTCTTGTATATATATATATATATAATCGGAATCTCGGAAACGGCTCCAGCGATTTTCATGAAATTTAGTATGTGCATAGATTTGGGGGCGAAAAATCGATCTAGCTAGGTTTCATTTTTAGAAAATGTCCTTTTATCCCTCTTTTCAGGGAATGAAAACTATAATTCGAATATGACGGTAAATTTCGCCGCAAGAGAAAATGTCAAAATAGCTCGGTCGGTAATCGGGCGGCCCCAAAACAGACGGCCGTGGTTCGCGTCACGATCATTTACACATTTATTTTTTACTTTTTTTTTCGATTCCAGATCATTGCTTTCTTTATTTTTAATTTTTTGTTGATTTGTTATTTTGTTATTTTTTTTTTTTTTCCCTTTTTTTTTTAAAGTTCTTTCTTTTGTGAAAAAAACATCAGTTCATATTTTCTTATTATTACGTCGGTAAGATCGAAAAATATTATGCATATTTCATTACTCAGTAATTTGTATCTAAATGTAATTTCCAAAATACACGATTTACCAAAATAAAAAAAACAGACCGAGCTTTGCTCGGTCTTCCGGGTACTTCTTAATTATTTGTACAATATATTTCCCTTACTTGTAGCCATTTAATTCTTGTGATGTTCTCCTCAGTCACCGTCAAAGCTCGCCTCTCCCCGAGTTTGTATGTCTCATCGTAATACATATATTCCGTAAACGTCAAACCACTGGTGGTGTACTGCTGTGTGAAATATATCGATATTGTGCCGTTGATAATATCGTGTTCGATCACCCATCGACATTTGATCGGCACTGGAAACGGATTCGGGAAATTGGGGGTCTGTATCGTTCCCACATGGCCCCTTAAATGGCCGCCGCATGTCTGTGGACCCTGGTGCTCTTTACTATCTTGCGGACGCACGCAGTCGAAGGCGATCGTTACTAGTGTGATACTCAGTAAATGACGCATCGTCGACCTGAAGACAAAATGAAGCATGAAAAAATGGTTTTTACTGTGGTAAGGCTATTGAATGAATTGGCAGGCTTGTTCGGGATAGTACCACGGCCTCTCAGAAGGCTGACGTGAAGTGGAATATATATCATATAATACTGGAAATATTAAAACATGTACAAAAAGTACGAAAAGATTGTCGCCGCTGTGGGAATCGAACCCACGCCTTCGGCATTCGCGGCCTAACACTCTAGCCACTAAGCTAAACGGCTGATAGCCACAGCGACAAAAATCTTAACGCCTTCTTTCTACATTGTGATTTAGCATTTGAAGCAATGCTTGGCGCATCTATTGTTATATCCTTTCCAGCATAAAAATAATTTGGAATATCGTTTTACAACGATAATAGACAACTAGAGCGTCAGGCCGCGAATGCATATATGAAGCATTATAAGTTTATAAGTATATGGGTTTCGTCTGGTCAGTAAGGTAGCCATCAATAATTTCTTAACATCTGCCTGCTCGTTTGCAAACTAAATTAAAAACCTGGCCAAGTGTGAGTCTGAACCAGTGCGGGGCGGGTTCGTATCTATAAAAACGGCAAAAAAATCATGTCTGATGTATGGGAGCCCCACTAAACTTTTTTTTATTCCGTTTTTTTAATATTTGTTGCTCTGTAAAATTTTCAACTGTCTAACTATCACAAATAGATAGAAATACAGCCCGGTAACCGACGGACAAACAGACAGCGGAGTCTTTGTAATAGGGTCCCGTTTTACCCTTTGGGTACCGAACCCTAAAAATGAGTTGCGCCAACGGAAAATTGTGGATAAAATTGAGTTACGTTTTACTAAGTTGATAAAAAGATACTTTTCCCACCAGTCTATTTTGCGAGGAAAATATCTAATCTGTGTTAGTTACTACTGTGTGGATTACTACTACTGTGATAAAGCTCCCTAGAGGAGCGTCAGAAAGCTTAATACGGATTTTCAAAGACGTTTCACGACTTGTTGCCGAAATGAAATTGTTTTACATCCGTTGAGAGTAGAAATTCAGGTCAAAATTTAAGCTAACTCGTTAATGACGATGACGAAAGAGATTAAAGACATATTTAATACTGGCTGGTATAATAATTAAAAAAAATATTTAGATTAAATTTTAATTTTAGAATTGACTAAAATTTACTGAAAAGTTTTGTTACAGCTCTAACTCTATAAAACATAAATTTTATATAGACATCAACAATACAAATGTCAATTCTTAATAGTTGAAAAGCTATAATTTTAATATATCCAATATTTACAACATTAAATCTAAAATTATCTAAAATTACATAGTTTGTCTAAGAAACCTAGTCCACGCGACATTGTGCTAAGAATAGTGCCTAGTTGCATTTTCTCACTGAACAGTTATGCTTAATAGTCCATATTCTTAATGGTATATGCAGTGAAATGAGTTGTTTTTTTTTTTTCAACGTAATTAATTGTATAGAGTGGGATTGTAAACACTACGACTGTTTTATTTGTTGTTATAGCGCAACAAGAAAACATCATCTGTGAAAATTTCAACCGTTTAACAATCACGGTTCATGAGATACAGCCTGGTGATAGACAGACAATGGCGTCTTAGTGATAGGGTCCCGTTTTACTCTTTAGGTACGGAACTCTAAAAATGTTTCATTGACTTTGTTTAATTCCAATAAAAAGATAGCTGTATCCACGGTAATAATTTTTTAAAATTATATCCATTAAAGTATTGCATGAATTTCAGAAGTAGAAATTTGTCGAAATATTCATGAGGATTCCGGTCACATTTAATTTTGCATCAGTCGATCAAAAATCATTTGACATCAATCAGAACGGTACGTTTTTGGTACGTTGGTTGATGAGTTTTTCACAGATTTCTTATTTTCTCATAAAAATGTGTTTTACACGTTTTCCGAATATTTTTTTGGAAATAAAGCCATAGTAGAGATTAATAAATTGCTCCACCATTGCGCATGTGCCCAATTCAATATTATTTCTATTGTACTATTTTATTTCTTTCTTAAATTACATCGTGCTTAAACTTGTTTCAGCTCGTCGCTGATTCCGTAAATTCTTGGTCATGGCTGAAAATGACCTTGAGTGGCATGATGGCTTTGTACTTTTTAGTGAAATATTTTGCTTAATTTGAATATAAATATTAAAGCATGTTTTATGAACGCATTATAAGATGATTTTTAAAATTTATGCTGCCTGGGTTTTCTGCGTCGTTTAGGTTGTCTTAATTAAAATGATTTCTTCCAACCATGTGTAATAAATACTTCTAACGCGAAGACTCCACATTATTGAATAAAAGTTATTACGGTGCTCAAAATATAAAAATGTTTAAATTTCTCATTATGTTCCACAATCACGGACGGTGCAGTGTTCGAAATGTCAGGGAGTCGAAATTAAAATGATGAAATTTGTAAAAGATTTTCATTTAATAACGTATCATTCTTAAACATGCATGATGTTGGCATTTTTAATTCGGTTTGTGAACGCATTGCAACACCAACGTGCATCATTTTAAACGTTTAAGTAATTTAAAAGGCCTCTTAGTTTCCACAGCATAAATGCCTCCGGTTCGTTATTCAAAGATGTAATTCACTATTGCCGGAACGTAGGTTATTCTGGAATGGTATTCTGCAAAGAATTTTTTTATTGAATATGAAAACACTCTTTAAATCTTTGACTTAAAACTTGAATATAATTTAATGAAAGTTAAACGTACACTTTATATAAAAATATATAAAGTGTACGTTTAACTGTAATAAAATAAAGTTTACAGTCCAGTTCTGCTTTATTACTTTTCTTTACAAAGTAAGTATTTAGGAACAGGCTATGTTGTATTACTTTCCAAACCTGCAGACTTTGACAAAGCTTGTACACGCAATAAAATAGTAATTAAGACAAACTATTTCACACCAGCTGTGCACTTCATGAAGGTGTTTATTTTTCTATTGTAAAAAAGTAAATGAAAAGGGATTAATAATTTTTATTGCCAATCTAATAAGTGGTTCTCAGGTTAGGTATTCGCAAATTATCAGACAGAGGCATTGTTCTTGAAAATATCATTTTCGATATATGTTTATCGTTCATATCGATAGATGTTTTAGGCAGAAATTAAGTATATCGAATTTAACATGCGATTATGTTACTAAACGACAAGTAAATCTGATAACGGTATGTTACGAGTGCAATTTTAAAACAATTGTTAACCAATTAACAATTGTTTTAAAATGAAATTCATGATACGGCGCGTGTGCATACGGACCCGACTACCGAACCGTATGACCGCACGCGGCTAACAACTGTAATTTAATTGTTATTGCCATATAAAATACGTTCATTTGATGTAAATTAAATATTGAAATTGTTCACACTTGTCAACGGTATGAGCGATCGCGTTTCTGTGTGTTGTAAAGAAAATAGTCCCGCTGAGTTTCTTTCGCCGGTTCTACTTAGATCGCCTGTTTATGTCCCGGTAAGTTTAACGCTTATATTGAATAAACATTTTGAATTTGTGTCGTTAGAAAATTTTATGATGTACACCTACGGTGGCAGGGCCACGCAACAGACTCGGCTGTTGCACGAATGAGCAGGCTCAAGTACCAAGATTTCACAGAAGACCGGCGTAAAGTGGAAGTATAATACTTTCGCGTTTCGTCTGGTGAGTGAGATGGCCGGAGCCCAATTTTCAAAAGGTTGTCAACGCATCTGGAAACCTCGGGTGTAGCAGATGTCCATGAGCGGTGGTATTCACTTAACATCAGGTGAACCTGACGCTTGGCAACTTTTCACATTAAAAAAAAAACATTTTTTTATACATATACAGAAATCCATATTTATTTATAGAATTCAATACTTATTTAGTTATAAAAAAATAAATTTGTTGAGTCTATAATAGTACAGTGAACAGAACGAAAACGGATATTTTTTGATGAACACTTCATTTTGTCACTTCAATGAACTGCGAATGTTTAATGCATTTCTTTCTCACCAGACGGTCGCTCAATCAAAAAAGACCTTGGGGTAGGTCACGACTTTAAAGCATAAACAAATTACTCATGCTTCGCCCCACCAGTATCCCCATGCGAAGTTGGCACAAGATCAAGGAACTATAAAGTGGCGTAATATAACTTCTTTTGTCGAAACAAGATAAATTTGAGGGCATGGAGCGACATCACGCAAGATGTAATCAAACATATCCTGTCTCAATATTTGAGGTTTGCGTTCTGTTGTGAATGTTAATGGGTAAAGTGCCTGAGGGGTAGTTTAAAGTTGAGTTTTGTTTTGGGTGCTAGCGGATGATATAATTGTGCTATATATTGGTTTTAACTACTGTGAAATTAGGAAGGAATCCTGGTATAGCAAGCTATGATAACGTTCGAGTTAAAAAATAAATAAATTAATATTGCTTTTTTTTTTTTACTTTAGTTTTAGTTTTATTGTTTTTTTTTAATTATTGCTATCTTTTTTAACGATTGATCGATAACAATATGAATAAAATTTTAAGTCAGCCAAATGCTTTAAATATATATTGCGTTTTTGATGGCTGAACAATAATTGACTTGTTAAATTGACTTCTAAAGCATCAGCTTAATAAATGGAAACCATGACATAAAAAGTATGAATTTTCATTAACGTGCATAAGTCACGTTAATAATCGTTCAGTGCAAAAAGTGGGCCAAGTTTCACGATTACATTAATCAAGAATTGGAGCTGTGAAGCTTTTAATCAAGCTTACGCCATGTGGATACACGCATGTATGCTGATTCTGCCATTTAAAGCTAAAGGTAATTTAAGTAACATAAATAAATAAAAATCATTTCAACCCATCTTTGAGAATATGATAAATTCATTGGCTTAAATGGGTCTCAATTTACCGATTTTGTTTGTAAGTATCATGATTCTAGATGCGACATATTCAAAATACGACAAAGGGCCATAGATAAAATCTCAATGTGAATGCCATCAGCTTAGATTGAAAATTTGGAGC